ATTCAGTTTCCATTGGATGATTTTTGGGAGGACAACAGTTATTCCTCACTCTTTGTGCCAAGCACCAACATCCAGTGACAACCACCAACATCCTGCTCCGGCAGGGGGATTGGACTGGATGAGCTTTTGAGGTCCCTTCCAATCCCTAGCGTTCTGTGATTCTGTGATTCTGTGAAGATGCTGCCCATCTTTTTAGGGGGAGCGGGAAGACAGAAGGTGCCTTTGACAGATTTGAAGCTTGGGGAAGAGTGAACTGCTCTGCACTGAGCCCCTTGGCTCAGCAGCTAGGCTGAATAAAATAGAGAGGGTCTCTTGGCTCTAAACCAATTTGGAGACCATTCCTGAGAGCTGGATGGGAGCACCAAACCACCTGCTAGCTGGGGGCTGGCACTGGAACAAGTTCCCCATCGCTCTCTGGGAAACCTCTTTGCTGGAAACCCTGGCCACATCCCAGCAGCTGGGATGGCAGGAGAGTAGGATTCCCTTTGTGCTTAGCAGTTCTCCCATCTCTGTATCAGACAAGCTGCTTGAGTCATCTGTCTAGAGGATTGCAGGGAAACATTGGAGGCCTGATTTTGTTCTTTATTTTGAGCATCTTTATTTTGCATTTACAAATACCAGACCCACCCTCTGTGCAGCTACAAGAGCTGACAGATGTATATTTTTGAGCTGGACACTGAGTAGAGGTTTGTTTTATTTTGAGATAAGTGCTCAGGAAGGACTTTGTGGAGGTGTGAGTGAGTACAGAGGGAGCAAAGCAGTGAAGAATTAGGCCTGCTGTGGCCAGGCCTGGTAAACTGGGAACTCAGCCATCACTATCAGCAAACACATTATTTTAGTTCTAGGCAGAGATTGCCAGTCCTGCTAAATTGGGAGTGGGCTCAGTCACTCACCCTGCTAAAGGTTCAGATGAACCTTGCATCCTGGAGCTTTTTGAATTGTGTGGATATAGGATTCTGGTCCTAAGAGATAAAAGTAGAGCAAGTCACATCACCACCTCTGCCCAGGAAGAGGATGCTCAGGTGACTTATCAGGAGAGCCACCACAGGGTCGATCCACCTTGCTGCTGTTCTCTGTGCCAGTGCAGCAGGCATGAAAGAGTCCAGCAGTGATTCATCAGGAATCCTTGGATCTTGGCTGATACCAATCAATCCTGCTGGGCTGCTAAAATAGATATGGCCAGAGCATAAAATAGCTAATAAAAACAAAATCCTCCATGGAAAATGCATTCTTCAGGGTCTGAGGTTCCAGTTGCTGCGCCAAAGAGAAGCTGAGAGGAGAAAGGTTTGAGATTTTTCGGGCTTGAAGGAGGGGAGGGGTTATTACTGATCTCATCTCCCGAGTCTCTCCAATCTGTTCGTTTACTCTGTTTCACTTAAAGGATTCGCATCATGGTAACCTTGATTTATTATCTGATTTCTTTTTTGAATCAACCTCTCAGAATTGTGCACTGGCTTGAACCTGCAGTAATAAACGAGCACAGCTATTCCCTCTGATCTCCGGCATGCATGTAATGCTTTCTCTGCTGTGTGTGCCTGATTCATTCTTGCAGACAGACAGCGAGGTGAAATTTAGAAAAAAATTACCCTCTCTGATGAAGACTATAAGGCACACAGAGCTTTTACTCCCTGCAAGAGCAGAGCAGAGAGGGCATGGCAGGAAGGGGTGCTGTGCTGTCATCTCCACGTCAGGATGACATTCCAGACAGGCACCCTGCCAGCTGTGGTTTGCAAGACCAGGCAAGGTCTGTCTGACTCGTAGCTGGAAGATGCCCGCCTAGCATCCTCTTGCAGAGGTTTGGCCTCCAGAAGTAAGCATGGCAGATGTGTGGGTCCTAGTAAGGGTGCAGGACACACAGTGTTAGGTAGGGCTGGATGAGGAGTCTGGGTCTAGCACTGCGCAGGAATAAGCCGTATTGCACTCAGAGTAGCATTGAGAGACACCGTGGAGAGCTTTGACTCATAATTTATAGGAATAAGCTATGTAAAGATGCTATGTGCATCTTTACATGTGTGTGCAGGCTGGAGGGGCTTGTGTCACTTCAGCTGTACTAATTAGTTGCAGTAGTCATCTCTGTTTAGACAAGCCTAAAATCAAGGTTTGCATTATCATTGTGCCAGAAGTCTGAGGGCTGCTCTTAATTAGTATCTCACAAAGTGTGAAAGTTTTTATAAAACAAAGCCATACAGCTGTGATATTTGCCTGGACTTGTGTCTCCCAAGGTGGAAGAGTAAAAATTATTTGTGAGGTGAGATCACCAGCAAAAATATCCCCTACAGGAGGAGAGAGAGGGGAGCTTCTAGCATTATTTTAATATTGGCTAGTCGATGCTTGAACATCTCTCCTGAATTATTTAAATTAAAGAGTCAGACTTTGCACCTGGGAGTAGCTGTGCTGGTATCTAGGCTGTAGCCTACTCACACTGGAGTCAAGTGTGACAAAGCTTTGTAGGGATTTGGGTACAGCAAAAGTAGCACTTCTGTTGTAGTCCCAGTTTACTCAGATTCTCCTGGCAGCCTTTTGCATACTGCCACAGGTCTGGGAAGCCCCTGCTGCTTCAGGAAAGTAGCTTTTCATGCATGTACTGCTGGTTTTTCCCCTCCAAAACCCATTTGGAATAATAAAGTGCTCTCCTTCCCCAGAGTTAGTGAGTCATCAAGTCAGCCACATGAGACCAATGGCCCCCAAGTCATGAACCCAGCACTTGGTACCAAAGCAGGGGGTCAAACCTACCTTATTACCCACACCCACATCTCCTTATCAAGCCAGTGATATCCAGCATGATGGGAGGGTGTGGAAGAGTGACAGTGTTCAACAGGCTCCATGTTTTTCCACTCTTGCAAGTCCAGGTTTGCATCACAGCGTTGTTCTCGTAGGAAGATGGATAAAGCAAAGAAGGATTGGACAAATTCTCTGCGTCCAAGCCCCAACCCTCCTGATACCAGCAATGACGCTTCATGCTGGGACTGCAATCCAGGAACGAGCTTGTTGCTTCCCGGTAGCTGCAACCAGGGGCCAAAAAAATACTCAGCCCTTGGACAAAAGACTTTTTACACTGATGTCCTTACTCCAGGAACCTCCAGCATCTCAGAGGTAGGTGCAAGGAGCAATTATTTTTCTACCACTGTCTCTACAACAGAAAGACCTACAGTACACCTGGCATGGAGAAATATAGCTTTTACCCCAGGTCCTAGCCCTTCATTTTGGTCAGAGACCTTTGTGCAAGACCTTGACCCTTACCAAGTGAAGCTGTAAGGCTCTTCCTGATCATGGTTATGCTGCCTTCTTCAGTGGGCAGTGCTATCACTGTTGTCACGATGTTGCCCAGGTTTAGGATGCCAGTGTGACAGGACACCATACGGTTGTTACTGCAGTTGATATTTGGAAGTAGAAACCTAATGACTGCCTGGCTCATCAGCCCCCGGTCCACATTTTGACCTGACATTAGGCTGCCCTCTGCTGCAAATCCCCTTCCTACTCTGTGCATTGAACTGAAGTTTCCAGGTATTTGTGCCTCTCTGAGCCTTTTCTGACCATTACTTGTCCCTAAAGCTCTGGTAAAGTCAGTCTAACAGGTCTCACTTTCTCTCTGGACCTCTGAAACCCACCCTCCAACTGTGCCACAACTGTGCTCTGTTATCTCTGACACTTCCTTCACATGCTGCATTTCAGGATGTTTGTGCTGGCCCCCAGATGTACCATGCTTTGCTAAGACAAGCAGACCTCAAGCAGCACACCCCTAAAGGTAAGCATACTGAGAGGAGATATGACGTGGTAGGAAATGGGGTCATAACTCTTATGGTTGCCTATGCTGAGCATGCTGAGAACCAGGCTGTTGACTACGTTAGTGCTCTGCTTCCATTCTCCTGTCAGTGCCAGGGATGGTGCTGAGCTGCTTCAATGTCCTGTGAAAGGTGAGTTTAATTTAGACGTGGAGAAACATGGTCTGACTAGGTGGTAGAATCATGCTCCCTTTTCTCCTGGATAGATCTACTCCTCACGGGGTTCGAGGCAGACTGCATTGCTGCCTATGGGAGTTTGGTCCTGTGAGCCATATGCCAGGAGAGCACTGAATTTGCATGTGTTATCATTGCTTATGGAGCCAGCAGTGCCCCTTCCCTAAAATGAGACCTGCCCATGAGAGCTGTTCTCAGGATCTAGGTACCTATAGCCAGAATCACAGCCTCATTTGTTCATTCTGTGCCCAATTGCACCCTAGAGTGGCTTGTGCTCCCTAGATACTGGGGATCTTTGTGTATAGAGAGCTGCTGGTCCCACCTGCTTACAAGAGCTTCTTGTATCATGGATGCTTAAATATAGGAACAGAGCATGGTTGAAATGTTTGCCAGCACTCACCTGGCCCCTCGAGTGCTCTTGGGGGTATGGATCATAGGCTAGCAGCAGGTGGGGAGAAAGTGTGTGTGTGAAAGGATTTTAGTCTTGGAGAAAGATGGTAACTATATATACCACCTTCCTGTGCTTAGAAGTGACATTTATTTTCATGAGTGAGGACAAATAACTGCATCCTCAACTGAATCTTGACAAGCTAGACTCATCCGTAACAAGTGGTGACAGATCTCTATTTATGATCTGCTGCTTCTTCAAGGGGGAAGAAGCTATCAAGCTGGAAATGTAAATGCAAATGAAACGCTAAGTATTGACATAAATAGTTGATAGTGCACAAAGTGCCATAATGGATGGTGCCGTGGATTTTGCAACAAAGAAGTGACAAAATTGGAACAGCTGTGCTCCCTGACAACAAATACAAATCAGGGCCATGCTGTAAAGACCCCAAGCAAGAGATATGCATGAGGCTAAAGGAGCTGTAGTAAACCCTCTGCATTTTAGGAATTCCTTGAAATGATTGTAAGTGTACATGTTGGTGTGGACAATGTAAATGTTTATAGGTTAGGAGTCCCTCCTAAGAGAGGGAAGTAGAAAGAGAGGAACCAGTTGACTGGCTATTTCCATTAGTCCCAGACAATGCATAGCTACAGGGGTTGTGTCAGGGGCCATTTAAGAAGGGCAAGGAAGTGACCTCCTAGAGGACTCTTTCTGTACCCGATCATCCTGAAATGTGTCTGGCTTCAGCACTATTGGCTGCTCTGCACAGTTGCTTTGAAATCAAGGGGTAGCATCTGTGACACAAGCAGAAGCACGTGGAGTAGGGTGAAGGATTGAGTCCAAAGCTTGGTGTCCAAAGTGGCCTGAACCTGAAGTTTCTCATTGGTAAAGTGTGAAGTTCATCAGGTGAAAAGCTCTCACTCCACTAAAATCCATTTATAGCTCAATGCTTAGCTCTGTCGAGGGAACAGTGCTTTTTAAAGCTTGCATGCAACTACTTAATTTAGGTTAAGCTTCAAATTCCCAGTTTGCTGCTGTTCTATTATTTGCAGATTGTTTAGCAATATAAACAGTTTAGTGTATTTATGGAGTAAATGACATGGTTTAATTTCAACCAATTCTTGGAAAAGTATACTTTTCACTTAGTCAAAATTTTCATTGAAGACACTTGGCCAAATCGTGAGATTTTTAGCTCTTTAACTAATTTTTTTCTCGCGCCACTGCTGATGTGAGTGGGAGGTTTGCTTGAGCAAAAACTGAGGAGATGTTTGTCCCAAGTAAGGTGTGAATAGGGACTTTAGCACGTAAAGATGACCTGAGTGGCTTGTTCTCTCCTGCAATATTCATAAGCCCTTTCTCACCATCTTGTCTGAGCTCCTCCCAGCTACGACTGCGCTTGGTCTCAGAGCACCCCAGGGAGGCAGGGGAAACCTGCACCTTTCTGAAAGTGAGAGAAGCTGTGCAATAGAAAGAGTAATTTGCCCGTGAACACGTTGAGAGTCTGTAGCAAAGCCAGGAGCAGAACTCCTTAGAGCCAGATCAGTGCCCTGCCTCCTAATAAGGTTCATGACGGTAATTCTCAGTGGAGGCTTCTTCTATGCCATTATTTTGATACTGGCAAACCATAATGACATATTGCAGCAGGGAAAAAGGTCTTCCTTTCTGTTTCCCATTTGATGTCTGCTCGATTTCTCTCGCAAATCTAGTGAAGTGACTTCTACAAACAACACAGCAGACAGCACAGTCTCCTGTGAGTGAATGTAAAGCAGCGATGTCTGGCAGTCTCAGATGTGTGTTTCTCTTTGTCTCTTAGTCACAACCTTTAAGATGCCTGAGGACTTTGAAGGTGTCCTGGATACGCAAGTGATTGGACCAACCACTGAGAATCTCATCAAGTCAGATTTCCCAGTACAATCATTGAAGCCCAAAGTGCAGATTCCTTTCCAAGGGCTTCCAGGGCAATGCCCTCAGAAGATTGAAGTAGAGCAGTAAGTACCCAGAAAGTGGCTAGAGACATCGTTATGGAATGGACGCAGCAGATTAGGGTGTTGATTTTTGCTTTCAAGACATGACGTGCCAAAGATCTTTAGGAAAATACTATCTTGTAAGGCAGTGATCTCCAAAATGTGGGAGTGTGCAAGACAATTTGCTGGGGTGTGGGAAAAACATTTTTTAAAATAGTGTTTATTTCATCTTTTTTCTCATCCTTTTTTAAATTTCTATTTTTGCATATGCTCTATAATGTCCACAATATATTAGTACAGTAGTACATGTATGTAGTTTATAAATCGGACTAGATCATCATTGTAGATTCCTTCCAACTAAATTACTTTATTGTATAAATGAAGAAATAGACATGTGTGCAGTGTGTGCCCAAAAACTGTTTTACTGATAGAGGTGCACAATCAGAAAGAGGAGTTGTAGGCATGGGAGCCCTTCGAGGTGCCTTAAGTGTTATTTCCCTATCTGATTCAAAACAGGAGGAGACAGCTGTATCTCACCTGTGATACTGCTCAGCTCTTAGCCAGCAAGGGGCTAGACTCAAATCAGCTGATGCCAAGGCACCATGATCCTGACAATATGTCAGCTATTGAGGAGAAGAAAGATCCTGTCTTTCCCATCTGCCTCCCATTAGAGGTAAGAGAGTGTGTTTAACACTTGTGATCTGTCCCATTACTTATACTACAAGATGTTTCTGAGAACTGCAGGACACGTAGCCATCATTGATACAACAATCAGTAATAAAAGGAAATTCTTCAGAGCAAGTTTGGGCCCTGAAGGATCTCTGCAAGATGCTCAGCATCTTCTGCAACTTTCATAAGAACTTGAGGGTCCTCCTTACTGTCATTTGTATGTCCAAAGAAAAGGTGGTGGTGTCTCTTGTTTCCTTCCAAACTCAGTAGTCAGCAGTATTGCATGAGACCTCTCCAGATGGTGGTCTGTGCTCCCTAGTAAAGGGCTAGAGGTACAGATACTGTTGTCTGGAAGAAGACCGTTGCTCAAAGAGCAGCACAGCTTTTGCACCTGAACTGTTTTCCATTTCTGTGGCTCATTTAGGAACTGCACGTTAATTTCCCTCTCATGAAGTTTTGTATCAGGTATTTTCTTCTCTCTGAAGTAGGACTTAACTTCACTCATATCCTGGCTCTTTAGATATTTGACAGTGACGAGTATGACTGTCGAACTCCACAGAGTGGAACTCACTAGGACTGGAGCCAGGATCTCATGATAGAAAGCCAGTTCCTGGAAAAGCACTTTTACCTACAGATAATGTCCTGGGACACGGTAAAACTTGAATGAATTGCTGCTCAAGCGAGGCAATGCTAACAATTACAGGCCCATTCAGCAGAAGGGAGCATGTAGATTCTGACAAATGCAGCTCTGAATAGCAGAAAACCAGTAACTCATTCTGACCAGGCTTAGGCAAAGCAAGAGACCAGGGATCTCAACTGTCAGTGCTACCCTGAACTGACTGTTTCCACCTTTTTAGAAGTAGCCTCTGCCTTTTCCCCTCCTGTTTCTGTGCCTGGAAGTCAGTACAGTCAAAATTTCACTTTATTGATATGTATGAATTTAGTTAGTTAGCTTGAATACAGTATGTACTCCCTGGATTTCACTGCAAATGCAGGATCAGAAGTCAAGTTCAGACTGCAGTGAAAATCCAAGTAGTAAATCTGGGGCAACTTAAGTGAGGTGGGAGTCTGTTGTTTTCCTGTCACTCAGAGCCTTCCCAATGAGAAGGCATCACTAGGTACAGCTGTACTGGTGTCCAATTGTGGCTGCAGCTCATAACAAAACATCTGCACTAGCTTGAAAGCATAGGAGCTGGCATGCATACTAACTGCAGCTCTGGAGCAACCCCCAGAGTCTTGGCTGTCTGGAAGACCTAAGCATAAGGTGTAAGCTGTGTGGATCCTTGGGCAGCCAGCATGGGTTGGCTGAGTTCTTGCAGCTGGCTTGGGGAGCACTACAGCTGATCGCTCCCCAGGTTGAATGGGTGTTCTGCACACAAGTAGTCAGATCCTTCAGACCCTAGGTGAAGTGATACCACTGGCATCCGTACAGTGCCAGCACTGTTGTGAATTTCTATAGCTCAGACCCATGGTTAGCAGTATCTGCTCTCAACTGCAGTACAGCACTGTCCTGACCTGTATCTGTATTGATAGCAATACAATATTTATCTGCCTGGATAGCACTTCCCATCATTGAAGAGGATCTGATCATTTGAGAGATGCCCTAGGAATGACCCAGAGGAATAACAGACTGGGGGAGAAGGCACCGGGTTTTACACCACTCCCAATTAGAAGAATGAGGACTCGTATGGAGGGCAGCACAAGGCTAGAGCCTCACATAGAAAAGGAGAATGGGATCCCCATGGACCCCATGTGGAGGTGGGAGGACAGTCCACAGGGAACCCACACAGGGAAGAAGAGGAAAATGGAGGGCTCTGCTGTGTACAAATGGTTGGAATTGCTAAAATGTAAAACCTGAGTCCATTATTTAGTTGATCACTACAGAAATTACGTGAGATTGACTGAGACTGAAACTAGTAGATGGATTTGACTGTGGCGTCACCACTCTGATCAGGAAAGTCCATTTGCTGTAACCTTTGGGAGAATGAACTAACCCTATTTTAATCTTTGGTTCTCTCAGAGGACCCCAAAAGTGAGAAGTTAATCTACAAGTGGATTGATGTTGGTGTTCTGGGTTATGACAAGGAGACAGAGCTCTACTTGATCCATAAAACAGACAAGAGTGGGCTGGTGCGGGATGAAGAAGGGAGACCCGTCCTCAATGGAGGAGTAACTCCACAAGGTGTGTTTCAAGTAAAGTCTTTTGGAACCTGGTCTATCCTGTGAGAGCCAGTCCATTACTGATGCTGGTCCTAGGTAGAGATGGGAAGGACGTGAAGAAGTAATTTAATTCCTCTCCGTTACCACTCTGATGCATGTCTGTTTCACCTATCCTGAAAAACCTCCAGGGGAGAGAACTCCATATCTTCATTTGACGACCTATTTGAGGCCTTCCCTTTGGAGATACCTTTTTTCCCTCTGTCTCCCATCTTTCCTGCCTTTAAGAAAAGTTAAATGATGGTCTTTCTGGGCCAATACCATTTTGAGGGGGAATGTGAACAGTTTAAGATGAAGTACCCCACTTCTGAAAGGTTTGGAGGTGCTGCTAATTCCATGCTCCTTGTCCCTTTCTGTCTTCAGCTTTGATCCCTCATTTTGATCTCCAGTAAGCCAGCCCCATTATATTGTCCATCAAAAAGCTGCTGCCAGCATTGCAAGCCATTCTGAGTTCTGTTTTCCCTCTAGACTTTTGTAAGCTCTACTTTCATTTTCCAGGAAGAACCCCATTGTTGTCATGTCAATACTGGGTGCCATGAGTTTGCCTTCTGGTTCTGGCTGGAGATACCCAGGTATTTGCACAGCAGGTAGTTTCTGCCAACAGCCTGCTTAAGAAGACACAGGCGCTGCTACTGTGTCACCTGTATGTGACCTGCATGCCCACAGATGGACTAAATAGCATCAGCAAGAAGAGCCTGGAGAGGATGAAGCTGTTGGCTTCAACATGCAGACTCCTAGACTGAAGAAAGAAAAGAGGTAAAGCATCGAGTGTATGTCAGGGTTCTCAGCCCTCAGTCCATTAATATTGTAGGCCTTCATAAGGCTACAGAATGAGTGGCAATGCAGACGGCTCTTGAGCATCCTACTCATAGACCTCATCTACTTTCCAGCCTGTGCACAGCACCCTCTTGTCCAGAGTGTCTTCAGAAGAAGGTAAAACAAGAGCCCAGAGACACATGTACAGAACAAGAGGTCTGTCAGTGTTCCCAGAGGAAGCAGATGTACCTCATATGTGGATGCACTGAGCCATGCTTACACCTGCAGTTAAGTGTCCCTCAGCAGCAGGAAGGCTGGACAGAAATGGCATGATTTACCTTACTGTCTCCCTGTGCTTTCAGGGAACAGATCAGTCATTGCTGAATCGATCTGCAGACCACCAGCTGTCTCCAGAGAGTTGGCTGTTGTCTGCTGGTGACTCTTCTACCTATTAACAGCTGCTAAAACAAATCAAAAGCAGATCTGCACAGGGTGAAGCAAACAGAACAGGAGATCTCCACCTGGATATAATCGAGTGTCTGTTTGAGATGCAGTTCATATCAGGAAGGCGTTTTAAGAGTCCCTGGGCTGATGAATCATGAGCCATTGGTGGTGTCACTAGGAATCAGCCATGACTGATTGCCCTGCTCAGAGACAGGAAGGTGTGAAGGGCTGCATGGTCTGCCAGCCTAAACAAGAAAGTAGGAGAGTAATTAGTCTCTGTGAGCAGAAATATAGGCATAAAGAAAAGTACTCTGCCAGCTTAAGGTGAAAGATGATCATTTCCTAGGGCAAACTGAGCAGGGTTTCTGCACTTACGTGCATGTTCTGGCTGTGGAAACTGATGCCCAGAGGTGTTCAGCCGGAGCCAGTTGGGAAGCCAGCTACGCTAGCCCAACTTT